AGTGGGAGAAAATTCTTCTCAATCTATATATCAGACAAATAACTAATATCCAGCATCTGCAAGGAACTAAAACAAATCAGTGAGAAAAAACAAACAGTCCCATCAAAAAGTGTGCTAAGGACATGAATAGACAATTCTCAAAAGGGGATGGGGGACTAGGGAAGGGATAGTAGCGGGTGGGGGGATAGGGGAGGGACAGCATTAGTAGAAATACCTAATGTAGATGATGGGTGATGGATGCAGCAAACCACCATGACACGTGTATACATACCTATGTAACAAACCTGCACACTCTACACATGTACCCCAGAACTTAACGTATATTAATATTAATAACAATAAAAAGATATCCAGATGGCCAACAAACATATGAAAAAATGCTCAACATCATTAATTTTCAGGGAAATGCAAATCAAAACCACAATGCAATACCAACTTAACCCAGGAAGAATGACCATATTTAAAAAAAAAAAAAACAACAGATGTTGGCGTGGATGTGGTAAAAAGGGAACACTTTTACACTATTGGTGGGAATACAAACTAGTACAACCACTATGGAAAACAGTGTGGCGATTCCTTAAAGAACTAAAAGTATATCTACTATTTGATCCAGCAATCCTACTACTGGGTATCTACTCAGAGGAAAAGAAGTCATTATATAAAAAAGACACTTGTGCATGCATGTTCATAGCAGTACAGTTCACAATTGCAAAAATGTGGAGCCAGCCCAAATGCCCACCAATCAACAAGTAGATAAACTGTGATTATATATATATATATATATATATATGTGTGTGTGTGTGTGTGTGTGTGTGTGTGTGTATACATACATACACACATATAAAATAATATATATACACACACATATATATTTTTTTATTGTACTTTAGGTTCTGGGGTACATATGCAGATCATACAGGATTGTTGCACAGGTACATACATGGCAAGGTGGTTTGCTGCCTCCATCCCCTGTCACCTATATCTGGCATTTCTCCCCATGTTATCCCTCCCCAACCTCCCCACCCCCTGCTGTTCCACCCATAGCCTCCTGCAAAAGACCCCAGTGTGTGATGCTCCCCTCCCTGTTTCCATGTGTTCTCATTGTTCAACACCCACCTATGAATGAGAACATGCAATGTTTGATTTTCTATTCTTGTGTCAGTATGCTGAGAATGATGGTTTCCAGATTCATTCATGTCCCTACAAAGGACATGTACTCATTGCTTTTTATGGCTACATAGTATTCCATGGTGTATATGTGCCACATTTTCCTTGTCCAGTCTATCATCGATGGGCATTTGGGTTGGTTCTAGGTCTTTGCTATTATAAACAGTGCCTCAATGAACATACATGTGCATGTGTCTTTATAACAGAATGATTTATAATCCTTTGGGTATATACCTAGTAATGGGATTGCTGGGTCAAATGGAATTTCTACTTCTAGATCTTTGAGGAATCGCCACACTGTCTTCCACAACGGTTGAACTAATTGACACTCCCACCAACAGTGTAAAAGTGTTCCTATTTCTCCCCATCCTCTCCAGCATCTGTTGTCTCCAGATGTTTTAATGATCACCATTCTAACTGGTGTGAGATGGTATCTCAATGTGGTTTTGATTTGCATTTCTCTAGTGATCAGTGGTCATGAGCATTTTTTCATATGTTTCTTCGCCTCTTTTTTTGATAAGTGTCTGTTCATATCCTTCGCCTATGTTTGAATGGGTTTGTTTTTTCCTTGTAAATCTGTTTTAGTTCTTTGTAGATTCTAGATATTAGCCTTTTGTCAGATGAGTAGATTGCAAAAATTTTTCCCATTCTGTTGGTTGCCGGTTCACTCTAATGATTGCTTCTTTTGCTGTACTGAAGCTCTGGAGTTTAATTAGATCCCATTTGTCTATTTTAGCTTTTGTTGCCTATGCTTTTGGTGTTTTAGTCATGATGTCCTTGCCTGTGCCTATGTCCTTAATGGTTTTGCCTAGGTTTTCTTCTAGGGTTTTTATGGTGTTAGGTCTTATGTTTAAGTTTTTAATCCATCTGGAGTGAATTTTAGTGTAAGGTGTCAGGAAGGGGTCCAGTTTCTGCTTTCTGCACATGGCTAGCCAGTTTTGCCAACACCATTTATTAAATAAGGAATCCTTTCCCTGTTGCTTGTTTTTGTCAGGTTTGTGAACAATCAGATAGTTGTAGATGCATACACACACATATATATTATATGCCATAGAATACTATTCAGCTATAAAAAGGAATAAAATAATCACATTCTTAGCAACCTGGATGGAATTGGAGACCACTATTCTAAGTGAAGTAAACTCAGAAATGAAAAATCAAACATCATCGTATGTTCTCACTCAAGTGGATATTAAGCTATAAGGATGCAAAGGCCTAAGAATAATACAATGGACTTTGGGGACTAGGGGGAAAAGTTGAGAGAGGTTGAGGGATAAAAGACTACATATTATGTACAGTGTACACTGCTCGGTTGATGCATACACCATAATCTCAGAAATCACTACTAAGGAACTTACTCATGTAACCAAACACCACCTCTTCCCTGAAAACCTATTGAAATATAATAAAAAAAGAAATACAACTGATTTTTGGATGTTGAGTTTGTTTCTTAGTTATTTTTTGTGGATTCCTCATCTATATATAAGATTATGTGGTCTGCCAACAGGGAAAATTAAACTTCTTTTTTATTTTCTTCTTTTCCAATTTGGATGACATTTCTTTCTCTTGCTGAGGATGTCAGTACTATGCTGAATGTAAGTGGTGACAGCAGGCATACTTGCCTTATTCCTGACCTTAGAGAAAAGGCTTTCCACTTTTCACCATTGAGTAGGATGATCGCTATAGGTTTGTTGTATATGACCTTTATTGTGTTGAGGTACATTCCTTCTATACCTAATTTACTGAGTTTTTTTTTTTTTTAATTATGAAGCATTGTTGAATTGTATCAATGCCTTTTCTGTATCTACTGAGATGACCATGTGGTTTCTGTTCTTTATTCTGTTAAGGTATTGTATCACATTTAGTGATTTGCATGTGTTGATCACACAGTGATCAAGTGTGATTTATCCCAAGGATGCAAGCTGCTCAAGCATTATTTATCCCAAGGATGCAAGCATGGATCCTTGGGATAAATCACGCTTGATCATGATGAATGATCTGTTTAATATGCTGTTGAATTTGGTTTGCTAGTATTTTGTTCAAGATTTTTGCATCTATGTTCCTCCGGGATATTGGTCTGTAATTTTCTTTTCTTCAGTATCTTTGTCTGGTTTTGGTATCAGGGTAATTCTGGTTTTGTAAAATGACTTTGGAAGTATTTCCTCCTTTTCAATGTACTGGTAGAATTCGGAAAGGATTGATATTCATTCCTCTTTAAATGTTTGGTAAAATTCAGCAGTGGATCCACCAGATTCTGGGCTTTTCTTTGATGAGAGGCTTTTATTACTGATTTAGTCTCCTTTCTCAGTATATATCTGTTTAGAGTTTCTATTTCTTCATGATTCAGTCTTGGTAGGTTTTATGTGTCTAAGAATTTATCAATTTCTTCTAACTTATCCAATTTCCTGGCATATAATTATTCCCAGTATTCTCTTATAATTTTTTCAGTTTCTGTGGTATTAATTGTAATGTCTCCTCTTTCATTTCTGATTTTGAATCTTCTCTTGTTTTTTCTTAGTTGATCTAGCTAAAGGCTTGTCAATGTTATTTATCTTTTTATAAAACCAACTCTTGGTTTCTTTGATTTTTTCCCTATTGGTTCTATTTCATTTATTTCTGCTCTGATCTTTATTATTTCCTTTATTCTATGAATTTTGAGCTTAGTTTGTTCTACTTTTTCCAGTTCCTTGAAGTGTGATGCTAGGTTGCTTTTTTTGGATCTTTTTTCTTTTTGATGTATGTATTTATTGCTATGAACTCCCTTCTTAGAACTGCTTTTGCTGCATTCCATAAGTTTTAGTATGTTGTGTATACATTTTCACTTGTCTCAAGATATTTTAAAATTTCCCTTTAATTTCTTCTTTGACATATTGGTTGTTCTGGACTATGTTGTTTAATTTCCATATATTTATAACTTTTCCACAATTCTTATCGTTATTGATTTCTAGTTCCATACCTTTGTGCATATATTACTTGATGTGATTTTAATATTCTTAAATTTGTTAAGACTTGTTTTTGGCCTAATTTGTGATCTATCCTGCAGAATTTTCTATGTGTATTTGAGAGGAATGTGTATTCTAGTGGATAAAATATTCTATAGGTCCTTCTTGTCTAATAGTTCAAGTTCAATGTTTCCCTATTGATTTTCTGTCTGGATTATCTGTGAATGGTTGAAAATGGGGTCTTGAAGTCTCCTACCATTACTGTATTGCAGTCTACTTCTCTCTTCAGATCTATTAACATTTGTTTTACATATTTAGATGTATCTATGTTGGGTGCATATATTAAATATATTTATGATTATATCTTCATGATGGATTGATTCATTATCCTTATATAATGACCTTTAAAGTCTTGTTTTATGTTTTTTTTTACTTTGTCTATTTTATTTGACGTAAGTATAGTTATCCTTGCTTTCTTTTGAATGATTGAATGAATAAATAAATGCCACGAAGTGTTTTCTGCATGGGGAAACAGTGCACCATGTCACAGAGACAGCCTAAGTACAAGTTGTTATTTTTAAAGCGTCAATATAGTCATTGTGGGATCAATAAAGACTTTTCATAGATTTTTATACATTACTGTTTTTATTCTGAATTGCATATGATGTAGGGACACCCTATCTTTTAATGTTTAGAGCCTCTAAATGTTTTAATCTGGTAGTACTTGAAAGACAGAAATGAATATGACCTACTCCCCTGCTCCAGAGTGGCTCTAGGGAAGAGAGACCCAGACACAAGGTATAACAACACTATGTAAATAGTGTTGGTATAGAGGGTCTGAGGAAGGGTCGTTGTGGGAGCTCAGAGAAGCACATTCCTCCTAGGGGAAACAGGAGACTCAAATAGGAACAGAGATAGTGTGGGGAATAGAGAAGTCAAATGGAGAATAAGAGGAAGTGATAACTGAATAGGGGCAGTAAGCAGAAAAGAGGAGCTACATTGAGGAGAATGGAGAGTTTAAAGTAGGTATGGAGGGGAGGAGACTGATAGGCAGGAACGGAGACCCCCTCTGGAGGCGGAAAGAGGCAGGACCACTTCCGGCCAGGGAGCGGGGTTAGGCTCAGACCTAAGGAGAGGCTTGGAGAGAGCAGACGCCTTCTCGATTCAGGAAGACGAGGTGAGTTGAGGTGCCTGGCTTTGGTGTAGATCCTGTGGGGGCTTCCTGGCTGCGGCTTCCACGTGCCCGACTCCACACGCCCCTAAGGTTTGAAGAAAACCTGCTGGGGGTTCGGGACCTAACCGCATGGAAGTCATCTTTAGCGGTGGCTGCACCCAGTTCGCACAGGAGAAAGTAGGAGGCAGAATCCCCTTTGGGCCACAGAAAGGAAAGATCTGGACTCGGTTCGGGCCGTGGAAGGGAGGGATGCAGACCTCAGATCGCAGAAAGGAAGGATCGAGAAATCCTTCAGACGGTAGCACGAGGGGAGGAGGACACACACAGTTCGGGAGGGAGGTAGGAGACGGCAGGACTCCGTTTAGGCTGGAGAAAGGGGGCAGGACCCTGTTTGAGCCACAGAATGGAGGGATCAGGACCCAGAGAAAGGAGTGGGCAGCATCCCTTTTGAGAATAGCGGAAAGGACCAGACTCAGACAGGAGAAAGGAGGGGATAGGACCCAGTTGGTTCCGGTTTGAACAGGGAAGAGACAAGACCTGGTAGGGTTTGAGAACAGGAATACACCGAAGGTTCAAACCGTTGGATTTGGGGGTGGGGTATTCATGTTGCAGAAAGGGCGGAGCTGCACACTTGCAGACGTGGAAAGAGGGGGGAGTGGTGTGGGTTGGGGAAGGGGTGTTGCGGAGACGTACCGCAGAGCGGAGGGAGGGGGCTTATTAAAGGAAGGGAAGGTGCAGAGAAGTGCTGCAGAGCGGAGGGAGGGGGATGTATTGGGAAGGGGCGGTGCGTGGCAGTACCGCAGAGGAGAGATGGGCGGTGTTGGGGTAGGGGCGGTACGGAGTGGTACTGCAGAAGGGAGGGAGGGGGCTAGTGTTGGGGGAAGGGTTGGATCGAGATGTGATGCAGTTAGAAAGAGTGGGTCAGGATTGGCGCCAAGATATTCTGTTGCTCTGAGAGCAGGGGGCATATGTGGGATTGAGCTGATTAGAAACTGTCCGGTTTACCAAGGCGCATGCGCACGGAGAGCCTGGAAGAACCGGTTCTTTTGGGATCTCGGTGGGCGTGAGATGGGGGTTGGGGGCGCCTCCAGTCGGTGCGCATGCGCACTATCAAGTTGCGGAGGGGGCGTGTAAAGGGGCGGGTCGTAGAACTGACCCTCTTGGAGGAAAAAAGGAGCCAGGCCTTGGAAACCAGATGGCTTGGGTTTTTTAGGTGTGAGAACCCAGGAGTTGAAAGGATTAGGTCCAAGGTTACAGGAGACTCCCCTACGTAGGGATAGGTGAGATGTCTGATGAATCTTCCCCTCCTTCTCATTCTCCTCTAACTCAGGCCCATTCCCCTCAGGCTCAGCTGTTACTCGGCCTCCCAGAAAGATGGATAGGCGAAATGACTACGGATATAGGTTGCCTCCATTTCAGGTGAGGCCTCTCTGCATTCTCTCTAGGCCATCTGCCCGGTCCTGAGTTCACTTACTGCTCTTCAGACCCCTGCCACCATTTAGTTGCATAATTCCCTGCCTAACCCATCTCAGTCCTCCCTTACATGGTGAAGGAGAGGAGAGGAAAACCTGCCCGACTCTATTCCTTCCTTGCTCCCTACACCTTTCCCCCACTCCATTTCAATTAACCACTGCTCAGAGAAAGGGAAGGCCTTTGTGGAAAGGGGTGGGCTTTAGGGAGGCCAGATGGCCCAGAGGATTGTAATCCTAAGTGTGTAGGGCCCTCTGCCTCCCCCTGGGAGCCTGGGGCTTCCCTTCCCTCCAGATATACAGACTGAGACCACAGAAGAGGACAGTGTCTTGCTGATGCATACCCTGTTGGCGGCAACCAAGGACCCCCTGGCCATGGACCCACCAGTTGTCAACCGGCCTAAGAAAAGCAAGACCAAGAAGGCCCCTATAAAGGCTATTACTAAGGCCGCACCTGCTGCCCCTCCAGTCCCAACTGCCAGTGAGATTGCCACCAAGCAGCCCAAAATAACTTTGCAGGCTTTAAACCTGCCAGTCATCACCCAGATTAGCCAGGCTTCACCTACCACTGAGGTAGCCAATACTCAGGCTTCTTCAGTCACTTCTCAGTCTAAGAAAGCCAACAAGATGAAGAGAGTTACTGCCAAGTCAGCCCAAGGCTCCCAATCCCCAGCTGGCTATGAGGGTGTCACTACACAGCTCAAGTCACCCTTGCAGGTCCTAAACCTACCAGTCATCTCACAGAATATTCACGTTCCAATTGCCAATGAGTCAGCCAGTTCCCAGGCCTTGATAACCTCTATCAAACCGAAGAAAGCTTTCAAGGCTAAGAAGGTTGCGAATAAGGCCATAGCTAGTGCCACCGAGGTCTCACTGGCTGCAAATGCCACACATACAGCTATCACCCAAGGCCAAATTACCAGTGAGACAGCCAGTATCCATACCACAGCAGCCTCCATCCGAACCAAGAAAGCCTCCAAAGCCAAGAAGACAACTGCTAAGGTCATAAATACTGACACTGAGCATGCAGAAGCTCGAAATGTCACTGAGGCAGCTACCAGGCAGATTGAGGCCTCAGTAGTAGCTATCAGGTCCAAAAAGTCCAAGGGCAAGAAAGCTGCCAGTAGGGGCCCAAATTCTCTTTCTGAGATCTCGGAAGCCCCACTTGCCACTCAAATGGTCACAAATCAAGCCCTAGCAGCCACCCTGCGGGTCAAGAGAGGGTCTAGGGCTCGGAAGGCTGCCACTAAGTCTCGGGCAACTGAAAGCCAGACTCCAGTTGCTGACCAAGGGTCCCAGGCCAAGATGGCCACTGCTCAGACCAACGTAAGTGCCCTTCAGACTCAGGTTGCTGCTGCTGTCCAGGCCCTGGCAGATGACTGCCTGGCTCAGTTGAGTCTGGAGCCCACAACCAGGACCCGGGGCAAGAGAAACCGAAAGGTGAGATCTCTGACGTTACCATCCTTAACTTTGTCCTTCGTTTCCATTTCTACCCTTCTAGTTTGTTCATTTCTTCTGTAAAAGTTTACTGAGCCTTTTTTCTTTGAGGTAGTCCCTATGTTCAGATAGGCTGGGGAAGATGCTGAGAAGAAGGTGATATAGTTTCTGCCCCCAGCAGGTCACAGATTGTGGAGGGAAATAAGACATCCCTACACTTGTTACAACCTGTATGTAATTCTACATGTATTTCAATAGTTACGGTGTGCCATGCTTTGTGTTGGGTACATTTACCGAGGGTATGTCTGAATGTCTTGAAAGTAACTCTTACCAGCAAGGGATCATAGGTCCCAGTTTTACGTGTAAGAGAACTGAGTCCCAGAGAAGTAAAGTGACTTGTTCAAGAGGTACCAGCTAGCATAATCAGTGGTGGCCAGAGGAAGAGAAAGACCCTTAGGTTCTTATCTTCAGTTGTTCCTGGCCTGGCAGAGGAACGAAATTCCTTTCGGAAAGACAGTGAAAGATAAGGTCAGGATCAGGCTCTACTATAGCAAGGCGGCAGGAAGGCGTTAGAGGGACTTTCTGTCTGGAGGAGGCAGTGAGAAGACAGAGCCATCTCTTTCACCTGGTGACTCTGGACCTTCCTTCTTTCTGATGATGAAGTCCAAGCATCTGAATGGGGATGAGAGAAGTGGCAGTAATTACAGGCGGATCCCATGGGGCTGGAGGCCTGCGCCACCACGAGATGTGGCCATTTTACAAGAAAGGGTAAGAATCAAATGCTGTCCAGTCTCTTCTCTTCTTCACCTGCCCTCTTCTCTGCCACCTTCCAAGTTTTCTGCAAGCATGTTAAGATCTCTCCATCTATTCCTCTCCTCCCAGGCTAATAAGTTGGTGAAATACCTGTTGGTTAAGGACCAGACAAAGATCCCCATCAAGCGCTCAGGTAGTGTCCTACCAACCCTCCTCCTTGAGCTCTCTTCTCCACTCCCCTCTCCTCCCATAGTCTGGGAGTAACACTTTATGGCCTCTTCGTTCTCTCATATCTCCACACCTGCCCTCCTCACACTCTGCCATGGCTGGCATCGCCCATTAACTCATTTACTTCAGGTCTCTGGTTGCACTGACCCAACTGCACTGGCAAAAGGGCTGCAGCTCTGCGGCTCCTGCTAAGCTCAGCTACTCTCACCTCTCCTTTTCTACAGACATGCTGAGGGATGTCATCCAAGAATATGACGAATATTTCCCAGAAATCATTGAACGAGCAAGCTACGCTCTGGAGAAGGTGAAGGGGCAGTGCTGGTGGATGGGCACAATGGGGAAGCTTTGAATTGGGCCAAGATACACATGTCCCTTTTGGAGAGAACCACAGAGACCTGCTAATCCAGCCCCATTACTGTGCGAATGGGCAGACAGTGGCCTAGGGAGAGGTCACACACCAAGTCAGTGATGAAAACATGGCTAGGACCCAAGTCATTCAACTTAGTCTAAGCTTCTATCCATGGGTGGACACATTCTGCATGTATTTCAGAGCTCACCTCTCCCTTCTATCCCCATTCTGTCTCCCTAGACTCCTGCTCATCACAAAGATGACGTTGATGACAGTAGTGTTTGCTGCGTGTTTATTGGGTGCCAGGCACTTAGCTAGGTGCTTTATATACATTATCTCACTGAGTTCTCACACATGCAAAACCCCCTGAGTACACCAGGAGTTTTAGGATGCCCAGAAAGTTCACTGATACCTAAGCTGAATTTTGTGATCTCATAGGCTGTTCTTTCACTTGGCAGATGTTTCGAGTCAATCTGAAAGAAATTGATAAGCAAAGTAGCTTGTATATTCTCATCAGCACTCAGGAATCCTCTGCAGGCATACTGGGAACGTAAGCTGGGAAAGGGCTGGATGGGAAGGGGGCTTCTGCTTTTATCCACCCTGCTACTCCTTCTTTGTCCTACTTCCCCCATCCTCTTAGAAAGTCAGGAAAAACGGAGTCACAAAAGTCCTGTCCCAGCTCCTGCACATAGTTGGAGCCTTGCTCACAGTAGTGATGCCTGATTTATGATTGAAGGGTATAGGAGCCTGGGATGGGACATTCCTGCTGTCAGGTTTGCTGTCTCTGTAGAAGCTTCCCCGGAAGGCAGACCTGTCATTGTTTGCCTCTTCTGACTGGGTGCCTGGCCTGGCCTTGGCAGAGTGGTTCTCAAGGAGGGCTTCCTGTTGTGGGTGGATCAGGATGCATGAAGCGCAGGAGTGTCAGTGGGGCTGAAGGTTCGGGGAGAGAAAGAAGGGACTCACATTGACTGAGTGCTTGTGTTGTACCAGGTTGACAGCCATTCTTCTGTCTTCTTGGAAACCCAGGAAAGGGAGAATATGATTTTCCCATTTTACTGAATAATAGACCAAGGCTTACAAGTCTAAGTGCCTTTCCCAGGATGGCATAGAGCTGGAAGCGGAGACTGGGCAGAATTCTGCATCTGAGGAATCTGGGAGAGGCTAGCCTAGTGAGCTGGCTGGTGTGTCTTGCAGATGGGTGCTGAACATAAACCTTCTTTCTGTCCTGTTATTCCCTTAGGACCAAGGACACACCCAAGCTGGGTCTCCTCATGGTGATTCTGAGTGTCATTTTTATGAATGGCAACAAGGCCAGTGAGGGTGAGTGGCTGGGCATGCAGCTGAATGGGAGGCCGTGGTCTGGATTCCATGTGTTCAATTTCTGTCCCTGTCTCCTCTTGCCTCCCCTCGCAGCTGTCATCTGGGAGGTGCTGCGCAAGTTGGGGCTGCGCCCTGGGTATGATTGGGCTCTCTCCGCGCTTGCTGTTCGTGTTGTCCTTTGGCAAGAGAGGACGGTCCTAGGATTGCATCAATCTGGTGGTCTGGTGGAGTGGGTGGGGGTGCTGGATTGGGTAGAGGGCCCAGGGTTCTGACCTGGGTGGATGATGGGCAAATGGTCCTGAACTGTCTGCTCTGTCTCTCCTCTATGTCCTCTGTCTGTTCTAAGCTGAGATGTTAGATAGACCGTCAGGGATCCCTGACAAAGCGGCATCCGGTCTCCAATGCTTGCGTCCAGTGGCCATGTGCTTACTACTTTCTTTGCTTCGTTGAGACTGCCCCATGCGCTAGAGAGGTCTCTTCCATGTTCAGAAATGCCTCTGCCCTCATCTGGGCAGTTCTGATCTGTGTTCATGGGTTATTTTTCCCATTGTCAGGGTGAGACATTCACTCTTTGGGGAAGTGAGGAAGCTCATCACAGACGAGTTTGTGAAGCAGAAGTAAGTGGTGTTTGGGGCTCTGTCTGGCCCTGAAGTTTTCTGGGTATACTGATCTTGTTCAGAAAGTGCTTAGTCAGTGCCTTTCTTATACTAGCTCAAGAGGGATGGGCATCCTGTGTCCTAGAACTGATACTGTCTAAAATTCCCATGGGCAGACCTTTCCAGGACTGGGACAGCCTCAACCCAAGGCCCTTGCAGTGAGGTGTGCTCAGAGCAGGGGGCCTTAAAAATGGCTCCTCTGTTTACAACACACCCAACAGAAATCTGGGCTTACTCCTCACAGATGGCATGATACTTTGGCCTTCCTGTGACATCATGCCCTATACATGTCTCCCCTGGAGAAACCCAAGGGACTGCTTTGCACAGAGCCAGTGGGAAATGGCTCAGTATTGGAGGCCAAGACCGTGAACTATGTTTGGTAGTGAGTTTGGGGCTGAAGGGTCTTAGAAATCCTTCTCCAGGGGCTGTCTGTATTTGTTTGGAGGAGGTTGCCACCTGTCGTCTAGTGCTTAGACAGCAGGTTTGCTTGGTTAGAAACAAGTTTCATTTCCTTTTTCCAAGGTACCTGGAATACAAGAGGGTCCCTAACAGCAGACCACCTGAATATGAGTTCTTCTGGGGCTTGCGCTCCTACCATGAGACTAGCAAGATGAAAGTCCTCAAGTTTGCATGCAAGGTAATAGGAGAGCTGCCCGAGCTTGGCATATTAAGGCAATGGGATAACCTTGGCTGGGGCAGGCAATGCACAGGGATGGGCAGGTACAGAACAGCCTGCAGTTCATATATAAACATATGGAGCCTCATTTATGTCCTAAAGTGCTGCTAGATATATAGTTTACATCATCTCATTCATTCTTCATACTTTGTATTAATCAGCATGGGCTGCCATAACAAAATACCCTAGACTGGGTGGATGAGAAAACAAATTTATTTTCTCATAGTTCTTGAGGGTGAGAATCCCAGGTCAAGGTCCACCAGGGTCAGTTCTTGGTGAAGGCTCTCCTCCTGGCTTGCAGATGGTTGCCTTCTCGCTGTGTCCTCACATGATTTTGCGTGTGTGTGTGTGTGAGAGAGAGCAAGCTTTCTGGTGTTTCTTCTTATAAGGACACTAATCCTGTTGGATCAGGACCCCACCCTTATGGCCTCATTTAGCTTTAATTACCTCCATAAAGGCCCTATCTCCAAATATAATCACACTGGGGGATTAGGGATTCAACACACGAATTTGGGGGCAGGCACAACCCTTCAGTTCATAACATATTTACTCTCTTATCATTTCCTGTAATTATAAATGAAGACACTTAGGCTACATGAGGTTAAGTAACTTGTTGACTTGTTGTCCAGGACATAGCACGTAAGTCATCAGAGCTGAAACTAGATTTCAGGACTGACCCATGAAAGAGCCCCAATAACTAAAAAGTTAAAAAAATTATTGCTACGAGCCGGGCGCGGTGGCTCAAGCCTGTAATCCCAGCACTTTGGGAGGCCGAGGCGGGTGGATCACGAGGTCGAGAGATCGAGACCATCCTGGTCAACATGGTGAAACCCCGTCTCTACTAAAAACACAAAAAATTAGCTGGGCATGGTGGCGCGTGCCTGTAATCCCAACTACTCAGGAGGCTGAGGCAGGAGAATTGCCTGAACCCAGGAGGCGGAGGTTGCGGTGAGCCAAGATCATGCCATTGCACTCCAGCCTGGGTAACAAGAGCGAAACTCCGTCTCAAAAAAAAAAAAAAAAAAAAAAAAAAATTATTGCTACTAGTACAATACAAAGCCCATAGATTACTACTACGTGATTACTAGAGTTATTTTCCTTATGATTATCATCCCCCTTTCAGGTGCAGAAGAAAGACCCCAAGGACTGGGCTGTGCAGTACCGCGAGGCAGTGGAGATGGAAGTCCAAGCTGCAGCTGTGGCTGTGGCTGAGGCTGAAGCCAGGGCTGAGGCAAGAGCCCAAATGGGGATTGGAGAGGAAGCTGTGGCTGGGCCCTGGAATTGGGATGACATGGATATCGACTGCCTAACAAGGGAAGAGTTAGGCGATGATGCTCAGACCTGGAGCAGATTTTCATTTGAAATTGAGGCGAGAACCCAAGAAAATGCAGATGCCAGCACCAACGTCAACTTCAGCAGAGGAGCTAGTACCAGGGCTGGCTTCAGCGATGGTGCTAGTATTAGCTTCAATGGTGCACCCAGCTCCAGTGGTGGCTTCAGTGGTGGACCTGGCATTACCTTTGGTGGTGCACCCAGCACCAGTGCCAGCTTCAGCAGTACAGCCAGCATTAGCTTTGGTGGCACAGTGAACACTAGCTCCAGCTTCAGCAATGCAGCCAGCATTAGCTTTGGTGGTGCACCCAGCACCAGCACTAGTTTCAGCAGTGAAGCTAGCATTAGCTTTGGTGGCATGCCTTGTACCAGTGCCAGCTTTAGTGGTGGAGTCAGCTCTGGTTTTAGTGGCCCACTCAGCACCAGTGCCACTTTCAGTGGTGGAACCAACTCTGGCTTTGGAGGCATACTCAGCACCACTGCTGGCTTTAGTGGTGTACTCAGCACCAGCACCGGCTTTGGCAGTGCACCCACAACGAGCACAGTCTTCAGTAGTGCGCTTAGCACCAGCGCTGGCTTTGGAGGCACACTCAGCACCAGTGTCTGCTTTGGTGGCTCTCCCAGCTCCAGTGGTAGCTTTGGTGGTACACTCAGTACCAGTATCTGCTTTGATGGCTCTCCCTGTACCAGTACTGGCTTTGGAGGCACACTCAGTACCAGTGTCTCCTTTGGTGGCTCTTCTAGCACCAGTGCCAATTTTGGTGGTACAGTAAGCACCAGCATCTGCTTTGATGGCTCTCCCAGCACTGGTGCTGGCTTTGGTGGTGCTCTCAACACCACTGCCAGCTTTGGTGGTGCGCTCAACACCAGTGCTGCTGGTTTTGGTGGTGCTATGAGCACCTGTGCTGATTTTGGCGGTACACTCAGCACCAATGTCTGCTTTGGTGGCTCTCCCTGCACCAGTGTCAGCTTTGGCGGTGCACTCAACACCAATGCTGGTTTTGGTGGTGCTATCAGCACCAGTACTGACTTTGGTGGTATACTAAGCACCAGTGTCTGTTTTGGTGGCTCTCCCAGCACCAGTGCTGGCTTTGGTGGTGCACTCAACACCAATGCCAGCTTTGGCTGTGCCGTCAGCACCGGTGCCGGCTTCAGTGGTGCTGTCAGCACCAGTGCCGGCTTCAGTGGTGCACCCAGCGCCAACTCTGGCTTTGGTGGTGCATTCAGCACCAGTGCTGGCTTCAGTGGGGCACTTAGTACCGCTACTGACTTTGGTGGTACTCCCAGCAACAGCATTGGCTTTGGTGCTGCTCCCAGCACCAGTGTCAGCTTTGGTGGTGCTCACAGCACCAGTCTCTGTTTTGGTGGAGCTCCCAGCACCAGCCTTTGCTTTGGCAGTGCATCTAATACTAACCTATGCTTTGGTGGCCCTCCTAGCACCAGTGCCTGCTTTAGTGGTGCTACCAGCCCTAGTTTTGGTGATGGACCCAGCACCAGTACCGGCTTCAGCTTTGGCAACGGGTTAAGCACCAGTGCTGGATTTGGTGGCGGACTGAGCACCAGTGCTGGATTTGGTGGTGGACTGAGCACCAGTGCTGGCTTTGTTGGTGGCCTAGGCACCAGCACTGGCTTTGGTGGTGGACTGAGCACCAGTGCTGGCTTCAGTGGCGGCCTTAGCACCAGTTCTGGCCTTGATGGTGGGCTAGGTACCAGTGCTGGCTTCGGTGGAGGACCAGGCACCAGCACTGGCTTTGGTGGTGGACTGGGCACCAGCGCTGGCTTCAGTGGCGGACTAGGCACCAGTGCTGGCTTTGGTGGTGGACTGGTCACTAGTGGTGCCTTTGGTGGTGGACTGGGCACCAATTCTAGTTTCGGCAGCACACTTGGCACCGGTGCTGGCTTTAGTGGTGGCCTCAGCACCAGCGATGGCTTTGGCAGTAGGCCTAATGCCAGCTTCGACAGAGGACTGAGTACCATCATTGGCTTTGGCAGTGGTTCCAACACCAGCACCGGCTTTACTGGCGAACCCAGCACCAGCACGGGCTTCAATAGTGGACCCAGTTCTATTGTTGGCTTCAGTGGTGGACCAAGCACTGGTGTTGGCTTCTGCAATGGACCAAGCACCAGTGGCTTCAGCGGTGGACCGAGCACGGGAGCTGGCTTCGGCGGTGGACCAAACACTGGTGCTGGCTTTGGTGGTGGACCAAGCACCAGTGTTGGCTTTGGCAGTGGAGCCGCCAGCCTTGGTGCCTGTGGCTTCTCCTATGGCTAGTGAGATTTCAGGTAATTGCAATATTTCCATAGCCAGGATCCACAGGGATGGGTATAAGTGCTGGGAGATATTATAAGAAACACTGAGGCAGGTGAGCGGGGTGGAAAGATGAGGGCAATGAAGGAATTATGAGAAGACAGTATATTTGGTGCTAAAATGTTTTCCTATTTGTTTTGATTTCAGATTTATTCCCCACGTTTACAGATACCGCTAATAAACTGCAGTAGTCCTTCCCATGGAGCCAAAGTACATCCTTGGAATCTTTGTCCACACAGCAGTCTAAGCAGCTACAACCAATCAGCTGAGGGTGTCACATGATGAAAAAATCTGTTTGCTGTTCCTGCTTTATTGTTTGCTTTCTGTGTGCTGTCATATTTTGGTATCAGAGTTACATTAAATTTGCAACATGAATTGGAGTTTTTTTTTCTGTCTTTTAATGTGCTTAGGTAGTTGTAGAGTGGCATCTTGGGTTCATAGAAGAGCTGGAGATCAGCAAAGCTCTTTGGAGAACCTGGGGCTCCAGCTTTTGGCTCAAAGGCAAGTATGACTTCAGCAGGATAGCGGCCTGGGGAACGCATGGCCGGTAAGAGGGTAACAGCTTGAGGAAAGATATGGACAGGGAAAGCCTGGAGCAGAAGGCAAAGGGAGAGGGTTGTGGACAGTAAGTACAGATTGATTTTGAGCCATTGGTGTAAGAATGGAGGAAAGGGCAGAGATCACTAGGTGTAGACATAGGAACAAGGGAGGGTTTAATTGGAATAGGAGAGGAAAACTTGAGCATATTGTATAGACTGTGAGGAAAACTTGAGCATACTGTATAGACTGTGGGGCAAAAGCTAATAGGGACAGGAGATCGATATGGAAGAGTCAGGAATTAACTGAAGTAGCCCATCCCTGAGAAGGTAGGATGGAATAGGGTACTGGAGAAGACGACCCTGATTTCGAATAGGACTTAAGGGTGGCTGTGGATGCAGATAAATATAGATCTGCTTCAAGCAGTGATCAGCAACTTTTGTAATAGACAACAAAAAAAGGAGAAGTGGATTACACAAGGTTTAGGTCTTGCTGGGTGGTTGTGATGGAAGGATAAGGGAACAAAGGTAGCAAGTTTATGAGTCTGTCTCTTTACCACTGGGTCGCTGGCACCTGGCTTATGGTAGCTGCATGAAGAGTGGCTGAAGAGCTAGACCATAGGATCCAACATAGTCAGGGACAGAACACTAAGGATAGACTGGGGGACAATAGAGCATTCAAAGTACTCTGCTCTTGATGCTATACAGCAACAAATATTGTTCATTCAAGAAATATTACAGGCTGGGCACAGTGGCTCATGTCTGTAATCCCAGCACTTTGGGAGAGGCCAAAATGGGAGGATCGCTTGAGCACGGGAGTTCGAAACTAGCCTGGATAACATAGTGAGACCTTGTCTCTACAAAAAAAGTAAAAATTAGCTGGGCATGGTGGTGTGCACCTGTGGTCCCAGCTACTTGTAAGAGAGGCTGGGATGGGAGGATTGCTTAAGCCCAGGAGTTTGAGGCTGCAGTGAGCTAAGATGACACCACTACACTTCAGCCTGGGTGACAGAGTCAGACCCTGTCTCAAAAACGAAAAAAGGTAATACTACATACATGCCTATTGTATGGAGGCATGCCGCTGGGATTCAGTGGATGACAGAGTTGTAAGGACTGGGGTCGGGAGGTGGGCAGTGGTCAGACAGTTGGATGCTTGTATTTAAGAAGTCAGACCAGGCCGGGCACGGTGGCTCAAGCCTGTAATCCCAGCACTTTGGGAGGCCGAGGCGGGTGGATCACGAGGTCGAGAGATCGAGACCATCCTGGTGACTATGGTGAAACCCTGTCTCTACTAAAAATACAAAAAATTAGCTGGGCATGGTGGCACGTGCCTGTAATCCCAGCTATTCCGGAGGCTGAGGCAGGAGAATTGCTTGAACCCAGGAGGCGGAGGTTGCGGTGAGCCGAGATCGCGCCACTGCACTCCAGCCTGGGTAACAAGAGCGAAACTTCGTCTCAAAAAAAAAAAAAAAAAAAAAAGAAGTCAGACCAGAGAGATGATAGCAAAATCCATGGAGCAGGTGGTTGAAGGGGAGCACATGATCACTGGAGTTGAGGGGGTCAGGGGACTGGGAGGCCAGAGTACTGGTTAGATCATACACATAAACAGTGAAATCACTCAGGATGGCAGCAAGAGCTGCAGAATAGAGGAGCACCTGGCTCAAGTGCCAGATTCTTCTCTGAGTGTAAGGATGAAAGTGTCATGCCCCCAGCCACCTTGCTCATCAAGGAACAAGGCCCACAGGCACCAATCTTCTCCCCCATCTTTGGAAGTGCTACTGTAGAACTTCCTTCCAGGAAGTACTCACCCATTCCATGCTCTCAGCAGCAGAGCTGAGTCAGGATTAGGATCAGTACCTTAAGAACACTTGGAAAAGCCTCGCCATGACCTCCTCCTCTCCTCTTATAGGCAGTAAGTATTCATCAGAGAATAGGAATTAAGAAAGTAAGTTTCATCCAGAGCTAGATAGCTCCTTGGTTGTGGCCAGTAAGCGAGGCTCGTTTGGGAGCTGCAGAGGACTTCTTCACTGGAAGTGCAGTGCCTCTGTGAGGACAAGGCAGAGTAGAAGAAGAGCAAGGACAGCATTTCCTAACGGTGGAAGGCGATGAGGACACAGGCAGTTTGACTTCATGGAAAGGGCTCAGTAGTGGGCAGGGACAGTATCCAGGGCTTCCTCAGGTTCCCGGGTGATGTCCACATTCTGAAAAGAGAGCGTGGGATTAATAGGAAGGAGACAGCAGGGTAGGGTCCCAGCCCCTCCCCTGCCTGTTGTCCTCACTGCCAGGCTCCCCTCTTTCAGCCAGGCCTGGATCCTGACCCTCAGGTAGGCCTTGGGGAAATCTCAGCCTGAGGCCTTTTTTGGCAGGAATTGCCCAGCCCTCCATCTCCAAGTGCCTGAGGGCTGGGCTGTAGTTCCTGCATTTCCGGGTGCTGGTTGCTCTGCCTGTTGGTGCAAAACACCCAGGCTTGGTGGCGTTGTGACAGCCTTTCTGTGGAGAAGGTGCTTTCACCATGTGCTGTGTCCACAGCCAGCTTGGGCAACGGAGTCCTCCACTTACCTCAGGCTTCTCCCGGTGTGTGTTCACGGCCTCCACATTCAGGTAGATGGATTCCACCTTGCAGCCTTGGAAAAGAACAATCCATCTGTCCATAAGCCCCCGAGGTAGGCACAGGTCTCCCCTCAGGTGTCACCTCCCCCCATCACCACCCACACCCCCAGCTTCATACTGCATACGGATTGTCACTCGCCTGCAGGGAGGGGAACTTAGACAGCTGTGTGATGTGTGGGGAAAACACCAGGCCTAGGAAGCGGCCGACAGGGCATCCTGTCACCTCTGCCCCTAACAGTCTTAGTTCTCCGAGCTTCAGCTGCACATTTGTAAATGGGGATGGAGATGAGAGATGAAGTCTATGGCTGCCCAGAGCTCTTGTGGTCCACAAGACAGCAATCTCATCTATGTAATATTGATGTAGCTCTGTGGATCCTCTAAGCTGTGTTAGGTGCTGAAGAGGCCTGGGACCACTGCCTTGGGCAATCAGTGCCAGGCGAAGTTTATCCAGAGGACAATGTGGTTGTGGCAACACCAGGAGTGTGGAAGACAACAAGGGAGTTCTAGGGAACCTGAAGACAGAGGAGGGTGCATCACTGGGACTTGGGGCTGACAGAGGAGGCCTAATGCCTATGGAAGCTCCCAAAGCTTCATCCCTGTGGGCTGCACCTTACTCCAGGCTTCAATAGGCCATCTGCCCTGTTCACACCCCAGAATAGGTTTAATTCTGTCCCTTCTCTGTTCATGGACCTTTCATAGCTAATGCCCCAAGAAAGAGCCTGAACTGCCCAGGCTGGTCTTTGTGTTCTTTCTCCAATATGGTCCTAACCTACAATTTTCTTCTGGTCCCCTTTGGGGAAGCCCCCTTCTGCAGCTTGGTGCTCTGTGCTGGGTGCTCTGGCAGAGACACAGAAAGTCAGAGCCAGTCCCAGATTTAGAAGTCATCCTACTCTGTTATCTTACTACCATCAGTCCCATCCGCACCAGGACATCCACCCAAGTACCCAGGGAACCTACTGCAGGACTCTTCTGGGCAAATGGAAGGCACTAGGGCCATGCTCATAGCCTCCATATGCCTGCCCTTAGATCAGGATGGGAGTACTTACCATAAGCCACAGGAGTGAGTTTGAGCACTGTGTGCAAAGGGCACTTGAGATACGGAAGCTCATCTAGAAAGGAACAGGAAGCAGCCCTCAGAGACAGGATGCTGGCCAGGACATGGCCTCTCCAGGCCTCCAAACTTGCTGTATGCTCCCACTTCCATGTTCCCTCACTGTAGTGTGGCCTCACCAGGGGCGCACTCCCCACCACCCTGCAGAGGCAGCACTGAGAGCAGCTGGGAAGAGAGCAGGGAGGCAGGAGCACCCCAGAAAATGGTAGTGGACTGGACTGCATGTCCCACAGGAGGGTCAGACTGTCCACCCTGGAGACACCATCACCTCACTCACATGGCAAACAGGAGACCCAGGTAGGTTTCTCTTCCGCCCCTAGCCTGGGGCCTTCTGCAGACCCCGCATTGCAAAGCCCCAAGGTCCATGCCAGCAAGTGTTTTCTGAGACCCTGCTGTGGCACTGGACAGCTCCCACAGCCTGCTCCCAGCCCGGCCTGCTCTCTCTGATCACCCCCGCCCCAGACCTGGCGATGGACGAGCATTCATGCATTCACTTGTTTCCAGTTATTGACATTATACATAAAGTTGTTTTGATTATCCATGTACAACTTCTTGTCTGGGCCTATGTTTCTATTTCTCGGGCAAGCCCGAATGAAGGGGGGCGGTAAGCCCATTTCACGGTTTTGGCCAACTGAGGCTCTGAGAGGGAAGACACTCTTCACAAGTTACACAGCCAGGAAAAGCAGAGCACAGACTTGAACCCGGGACCCTGTGAGGCCGGGATGCATGCACTGGGCCCTGCTGTCAACCGCCCCAACCATCCAGGGGCTTACAGTGTCCTGGGGGTGATACACCTACCTGCTGGGCACTCTCCTGATACCCACCGTCCCGCTCACCTGCACATACCGCTCCCCATCTCCCTTCATTCTGCATGTTCGCCACCCCTCACGGCTTCCCTGAATGCCAGGTTCCACGCTAGGTTTCTGAGGCCTGCCCCTGCCCTCCCAGCCTCCCGAGACATCAGGTTGGGTGTTTTCCTTCCTGGGCATCCATCCTGCTGCTCTTCCTTGTTTTTGTCCTCATCAGGCCCTGGGCCAAGGGCGTAGTGCCCACGGCCTCATGATACCCTCAAAGACAGTCTGAGCTACTATGTACATCCTCCTTATACACTTGAGGAAACAGACTCAGAAAAGGGAAGTCACTTGCCGGAGATCTCTGACCAGCTCTGCCACTGCTCCCACTAGTGACCTTGGCCCAGCCTCTTCTCTCTCTGGTCCTGTGTTTCACCTCACAGGACAAGACTGGACTAGATGTACTCTGAGGGTGCCCCAGCCCTGAGGTTTTGTGGGTCTGCATTCTCAGTCACATCATCTCTCTGGGCCTTGTTCCAGCATTCCCCTGAGTAATGGGGTGGAGGGGGTAAGAATATCTGTCCAGTGCTGCCCTGTCTGGTTCCCAGGACAGGAGGCCTGTGTGTAAAAAGTACTCCACGCATATCTGAGAGGGGAAGTCCTCTGGCATGTACCTGGGATCAGTGTCTATCCCTGACACTCTGAGCCCATGACCTTGGGCCAGTCACTTCGCCTCTCCGGGTCTCCATTTTCTCATCTGGGCAATGGGAGTTCCAGCACCTCCCTCATAGTCTCAAAACATTGCCCTATAAAGTAGAGATGTGAACATAGAGAAATCTAGAAGTGCAAGGACCCCCACCACACATCCTGTCACCAATTTCCAGTGAAGAAATTGAGGACCAGAGAGAGGAAATTCCTTATTTAATGTCAAGCTCTCAAGTACGCTGGGTTCCAATTTTCAAACTAGCATCAAAGGAAGGATCCTAGACTGCAAAACACTGTAGACATTGAATATAATTTTGCATTGCTCTGAGACACTTTAAAAATATCCTGGAAATGCTAACACCTGGAGTGATATAACAGTTTTCTGCCAGGCCAGCTGCCCCAGTTTGCAGTTCAGCCTATGTAGTCAGTGTGTAAATACTCTATCAATGCAATGCCTAGATATTTTTTTAAAAAAATAAATTATCATTTGAAAAACAATTTCAAATGAAAAACATCACCATCTTGGGGGAAATTACCCCTATAGCAAGGACAGAAACTTGTAATCAGGATCATGAAGCTGTGAAAGGCCCCACTAGCACCTGATGGTAGCATGTTTCAGAGAAATACTAGCTCACCTTTTCCAGATTGAGGCAGATTGTTAATGTTGGCTTTGAAAATGTCAGCTAAGAATACTACTATACTAATAATAGCAGCTAGCACATAGCCCATAGAATGTGTCATGAACTGTTCTAAACTTTTTACCTATGTTATTTAAAATTCATCATTATTCTCCCCATTTTACAGATGAGGACATTGAGGCCAGAGAGGTTAAAGTAATTTGTGAAAGGTAGTACAGCTAGTACATGAAAGAGAAAGAATCTCAACCTAGGCATCCTTGTTTTAGATCCTCTTCTCTTAACTACTAAGATATAGAGATCTAATTGCTGGTGTCAATGTCTCAAATCCCATCAAACTTCCCCAAAACAGAGAGGAAGGTGGTACCTGAACTCTTATCCAGGAAATAGGCCAGGAGGCACCGCATGACAGCCTGGTGGCAGATTACCAGTACATTCTCCTGTCGTTCTAGCTCCATTATAACTGGCTCCAGACGCTGAACTAGATCCTCATAGGACTAAACATAAGAGAGATACTTGAGTGAGAAAGTGAGATAAGGCACGTTTGCCCAGAGGGGAAGAACTCTAAACTAGGAATCAAGAACATTTGGTTCCAGTGCCAGTTCAATTGTTGACCCAGCAGTATGACCTTAGGCAACTCACTTCCTTCTTAGGGTCTTCGTTTCATCATCTGCTAAATGGGGGCTGTTAATATAGTGGCTAAATAAGTGTATCAATACAGTGGACTAAATAACAATAACAACAATAAAACTCCCGCCCTGCAAATTGTCTTAAGTGCACTGCCGACCTTTCAAAAAAATAAGGGAAATTTTTATAAATATAGGGCCCAAAAATGAAGAAAATCTGAAAAAAAGTGATAAGTGGATGTAGAAACCACAGTTGCCCTGCGGGCATTTGCCAATCATAGTAGCTAAGAGTTCTGAGTTTTAAAAACATTACAGAAGTAGAAGACAAGACCTCTGGTGTGTACAAGGTGGGGAGTTGAGACTGAGACTCTCACATAAATCTGAGACCCTCAAAAGGCAAATCTTTACACTCTTAGTAAAAGTTCCTTAACAAGCAAAAAGAAACAACAAGAAAATGTATCTGTCTCTCCTTGGCTCTCAGGGGAAATAAGTGAAAAGCCTCCTGTAAGAATTTATAACCACGAGACTTCCTTCAGGTGGGCTGGTGATTCAGAACTACACTACCCATGTGATTTGAAGAATGTTTTGCTGAGAGTTTAATAAAAAGTGGTCCCAAGTTATGAGCTCCCAGGACTGCTTAGAAGAAGCAAATGGAAATCTCTCTGGATTCTCTCAACTCAGGCTGTGTGAGATTCCCATAGATAAATTCTTGCCAAGCTCATATAACACACAAGGAAATAAGCTACCATGAGTGAGAATAAGCAGAAACAAGAAAAGAACCCTAAAAACTTAAGGAATGCCACAATATAAAATAAATATGCTTGAAACTTTTAAATAAATAAAAGGTGAAATAAAAAATGTAAGGAAGAAATAAGATGTCATCAATAGGGAATGCTGGGAAGATGGCCGCCTAAGAACAGCTCAGGACTTCAGCTCCCAGTGAAAGTGCAGAGGGTGAGTGGACGCCGCATTTCCAGATGAACTCTTATTGCCCACAGACCAGGAGATACCCAGGCAGAGGGGTCACCAGCGTCGCAGTCCCAGCCGGTGCGGCTGTTTTGGCCCCCGCGGGGCTGATTCCGCCCACGCGGCTGCTGTGACCACTCCCTGTTGCTGCGGTTCTCCGTACAAAAGCCACTGGTCTGGGAGACCTCTTAGCTGGCGAGCAGAGCCCTGGGACCGCAGAATAGCCCATTCATCTGAAATAGCGAGTCAGGCCAGGAGATTCCTAGGCAAAAAATCCGCCAGGAGCCGGCGCCGCAGTTCGAGCCGACTCCGTGAGTCGCAGCACGGGAGATCCCGGCGCCTTTTCAACAAGCCACCGGAACGCGGGGTCGTTCAACTTAAAAGAAAAGACTCTGAGTCAGGGAGCCAGGTGATCAGGCTCGGTTGGTTCCACCCCTCCACCCCCAACAACAACCAGAACAAAAACAGTAATTGGAAACCCTCTGGGTTGAGCCCTTCAAACCAAGCACAGCTGAACCGGGATGGTCCGGCTCCGTGGGGGAGGGGTTTCCGCCATTACTGAGACTCTCCACCACTACTGCCGTTGCCGAGGCAACTTGCCACAACAGAGAGAGTCCACCATAACAGAGGCGGGGCCACCATTGCCCAGACAGTTCTAACTACGCCCATATAAAAAGGACTACAGGGAAGAGCTCAGGGCAGCTGGGCGGAGCCCACAGCAGCTCAGCAAAGCCCCTGCGGGCAGGCAGTGGCTAGGCGTGCTGCTAGCTGGGCGGGTCCGACCTGAAAGAAAAATCAAAAAAGGCAGTAGTGCAACGGAAACTCATAAAGCTCCAACTCCCTGGGACAGAGACAGACAACAGGTGGATAAACCCACAAAAATGGGAAGAACCCAGCGCAAAAAGGATGAAAACTCCCGAAACCAGAACACCTCTCCTCCTAAAAGGGATCACAACTCCTCACCAGCAAGGGAACCAGATCGGATGGAGAAGGAGGGTGATGAAATGACAGAATCAGACTTCAGAAGGTGGGTAGTAAGAAACTACAATGAGCTAAAAGAACATGTTCTAACCCATCGCAAAGAAAATAGGAACCATGAAAAAAGATTGGACGAACTGCTGACGAGAATGGACAGCATAGAGAGGAGTATAAGTGAATTGATGGAGCTGAAAAACGCAACACGAGAACTTCGTGAAGCATGCACAAGCTTCAACAGCCGAATTGACCAAGCAGAAGAAAGGATATCAGAGGTCGAAGATCAACTCAATGAAATAAAAAGAGAAGGCAAGAACAGAGAAAAAAGCGCAAAAAGGAATGAACAAAATCTTCAAGAAATGTGGGACTATGTGAAAAGACCTAATCTATGTCTGATAGGTGTACCTGAATGTGATGAAGAGAATGAATCCAAGCTGGAAAATACTCTTCAGGATATTATCCAGGAAAACTTCCCTAACCTAGCAAGGCAGACCAATATTCAAATCCAGGAAATACAGAGAACACCACAAAGATATTCCTCAAGAAGAGCAACCCCAAGGCACATAATCGTCAGATTCACCAGGGTTGAAATGAAAGAGAAAATGCTAAGGGCAGCCAGAGAGAAAGGTCGGGTTACCCACAAAGGGAAGCCCATTAGACTCACAGCAGATCTCTCAGCAGAAACCCTACAAGCCAGAAGAGATTGGGGGCCAATATTCAACATCCTTAAAGAAAAGAACTTTCAACCCAGAATCTCCTATCCAGCCAAACTAAGCTTCATAAGTGAAGGAAAAATAAAATCCTTTGTGAACAAGCAAGCACTCAGAGATTTCATCACCACCAAACCTGCTCTACAAGAACTCCTGAAAGAGGCTCTACACATGTAAAGGAACAACCAGTACCAGCCACTCCAAAAACACACCAAATGGTAAAAGAGCATCAACACAATCAAGAATCTGCATCAACTAACCAACAAAACAGCCAGGTAGCATCAAAATGACAGCATCAAATTCACACATAACAATACTATCCCTAAATGTCAATGGACTAAATGCCCCAATCAAAAGACACAGACTGGCAAATTGGATAAAAAGCCAAAACCCATCAGTGTGCTGTATCCAGGAAACCCATCTTACATGCAAGGATACACAAAGGCTCAAAATAAAGGGATGGAGGAAGATCTACCAAGCAAATGGAGAGCAAAAAAAGGCAGGAGTTGCAATTCTCATCTCTGATAAAATAGACTTTAAAGCAACAAAGATCAAAAGAGACAAAGAAGGACATTACATAATGGTAAAAGGATCACTGCAACAAGAAGAGCTAACGATCCTAAATATATACGCACCCAATACAGGAGCACCCAGATACATAAGGCAAGTTCTTAATGACTTACAAAGAGACTTAGACTCCCACACAATAATAGTGGGAGACTTTAACACCCCATTGTCAATATTAGACAGATCAACCAGACAGAAAATCAACAAGGATATCCAGGACCTGAATACAGACCTGGAACAAGCAAACCTAATAGACATTTACAGAACTCTCCACCCCAAATCCACAGAATATACATTCTTCTCAGCACCACATCATACCTACTCTAAAATTGACCACATAATTGGCAATAAATCACTCCTCAGCAAATGCAAAAGAACAGAAATCATAACAGTCTCTCAGACCACAGTGCAATCGAGTTAGAACTCAGAATGCAGAAACTAACTCAGAACCGCACAGCTTCATGGAAACTGAACAACTTGCTCTTGAATGTTGACTGGATAAACAATGAAATGAAGGCAGAAATAAAGATGTTCTTCGAAACCAATGAGAACGAAGACACAACATACCAGAATCTCTGGGACACATTTAAAGCAGTCTCTAGAGGAAAATATATAGCAATGAGTGCCCACATGAGAAGAAAGGAGAGATCTAAAATTGACACCCTATCATCAAAATTGAAAGAGCTAGAGGAGCAAGATCAAAAAAACTCAAAACCTAACAGAAGACAGGAAATAACTAAGATCAGAGCAGAACTGAAGGAAATAGAGAGACAAAAAACTCTTCAAAAAAATCAATAAATCCAGGAGCTGGTTTTTTGAAAAGATCAACAAAATAGACAGACCACTAGCCAGATTAATAAAAAAGAAAAGAGAGAATAACCAAATTGATGCAATAAAAAACGATAAAGGTGATATCACCACAGATTCCACAGAAATCCAAACCATCATCAGAGATTATTACAAACAACTCTATGCACATAAACTAGTAAACCTGGAAGAAGTGGATAAATTCCTGGACACCTGCAACCTCCCAAGCCTAAACCTGGAAGAAGCCGAAACCCTGAATAGACCAATAAGAGGGTCTGAAGTCGAGGCAGCAATAAAGAGCCTACCACCCAAAAAAAGCCCAGGTCCAGATGGGTTCACAGCTGAATTCTACCAGACATACAAGGAGGAGCTGATACCATTCCTTCTGAAACTATTCCAGACAATCCAAAAAGAGGGAATCCTTCCCAAATCATTTTACGAGACAAACATCATACTGATACCAAAACCCGGCAGAGACTCAACAAGAAAAGAAAACTTCAGGCCAATATCCATGATGAACATAGATGCAAAAATCTTCAATAAAATACTGGCAAACCGATTGCAACAGCATATCAAAAAGCTCATCCACCATGATCAAGTAGGATTCATCCCGGGGATGCAAGGCTGGTTCAACATACGCAAGTCCATAAATGTAATCCACCACATAAACAGAACCAAAGACAAAAACCACATGATTATCTCGATTGATGCAGAGAAGGCTTTTGACAAAATTCAACAACCCTTTATGCTAAAAACCCTCAATAAACTAGGTATTGACGGAATGTATCTCAAAACAATAAAAGCTATTTACCACAAACCAACAGCCAATATCATACTGAATGGGCA